GTCGCGCATGGTATGGGCACATATCCCCAAAGTTTCAGCCTTTTGGCTTTTCTGGGTCTCGAGTTGGAAGTGGGTGACAGAAAGTGCGAACACAGAGACACACAGACAGCCTCTTCCCAATATGCGTTTTTGCAATTTACATGTATGCAAAAACGCATAAAAACCATAAACTTGAAACTTCACTCGATCAGGCTCGAATTCATAAAACTGGCCAGGGATTATAGGACCAGGAAACAGCACTGCGTAGCATCTGATTTTAAACCGTTTCCCTCGAGCGGTTTAACAAATTAATAAATATTTCTATTTTTCGGCTTTCCTTATTCTTGGTGCAAAAATTTCCCAAATTCTGGATCTGAATTCGTTGTGCAGACACAAAATTCGGATGTGAATTGGTTTCAAATATCTGGCCCTTATGCTCATGAAATTTCTACGTATTTAACTTGTCACGTTCTAAAAAAAGGAAGGTTTGGCAGCAGTTTTGTATAAAAATTTTAAAAACATGTGGATTTTTAACGTTTTCAAATTTGAAATTTAAAAACGCATAAAAAATAATGAAAAATTGTCCGAGGTGTGATCTTTAAATTTGATTTGTGAGCGTCATCCGGGCTAATGTTCTATAAGTACATTTTAAGTTCTTGAGATTGCCTACAAGATTCTATTGGTTGGAAAGTGAAGGAGTGGGGAGGGAGTAAGAGTAACTGCATTCACTGAAAAATATCTGTCTCATTCATCCAATTTTTACTTGTAAAAGAAAAAAAAAAAGCAAAAACGAACTTGATAGCAAGCAGGGGCAAGTACGGTAGCATCGATAATATCCTTCCATGGTCGCTTCATAATCGGTGGACGGAAACGATTGGCACCGGTGGGTGGTTCGGCGAACGGAACGCTCAGGAACGAGCGCACACGTCTACCAAGCATTGAGGTCTCGTAGCCACGTATCATGCCATTACGGGTTTGCAGTTCCACCACTGTTCTCCTCCAGCTCTCGCGTTCGGCTTTAGTTTCCTTGAACAAGTTTTTAGTAGCGGAACAGAGCGAGCCAGTGCTCCTTCCCAAATGGCACCGAAACTAGTGCATTTCATTAAAGCACTTATCGAATAAGACTGGAGTGGGGCCCAAAGCGAAGGAAAAGGTAGTGGGAGAAAGAATGCCTTTCTTTCACTCACAGACTCTTAGTACACACTTGCAGACTTTCACATAAAGGCTTCTAAGCAGTAAGATGAGCCAAATCTGAGTAATTTCGGCCAAAATTCTGGATTTTTTTCTTTGTTCAATTAAGGTGTTATACGGAATTTTCGAAAAACAAATCAAAAACGTGAACTGAAAGCTTACGTGGACGTGTGACGAGAAGCCGAGCAATGCCAACAAAATGAGCATTGTAAAATGCAGCACTTCTTAATCCACCATTTTGTACAAGGAAAGCTGCAAGTGCGCTACGCTTTCACAGTAAATCTTGCTCAGCATAAAATGAGAGTTGTTGCGCTTTTTCATGAAGCTACTGAAGCAATTCCCAATATTTGCGTGTACAAAACTATTAAAAACAAATTTTAATTATACAAATTCAGCATAAAACATATTTCACGTATCGAAACTTTCGAATTCAGG